ACGTCTGGAGAGGACTGGCACTCACGTGAACACGCGAGTCCAGAACTTGCCATGCAAGACTTTGAGGCGGACGACGGCGCCGCCGGCCTTTTCGTTACCAAAGTGGAAGGTGTCGTCGCGGTCCTCTATGCGCATATAGCCAACTGCGATGGCGGACCTCATCACTGCGATGATCGACGAGCGTGCTGTGCGACGAGTGCGTGGTGAGCAAAAGCTGGCCGGGAGAGAGGGGATTCTGACCAAACATAGTCAAGAAGGAGTACGGCGCTGGGCGGCTGCTTAGATCGAGAGTGGACGAGCCGGCGGAGGAGACGGTAGCTTGGGACGGGGTGGATCGGTGGGGCATCGTGGGGACTGTGCGAGGAGAGCGCGGCCACGCGAGGCGAAGAGGGAAGGAAGACTGGCGGTGAGAGGACGAAGCAGCATGGGCCGTCGCATTTATATCGGGGCACGACTGAGCCTGGGGGAGTCGTGCGGACGATGAATGGGAGGATGGGAGGACAGGAACGAGCCCCGACAGATCGTGCACCGGATCTGTGTGAGCGACCACGACGGCCGGGCTGGAAATCGTGGTCCCGTGCACCGACATTACGCGGCCAGGAGCGAACGCCAGGGACGGCGACGGACGACGACGAAGCGCACACCGGCCGGGAGGGGCGAGCGTGGACTCGGGGCAGCGCGAGCGGTGCGGACGCAGGGGCGGCCCCCATGACCGCCATTGAGCGCACCCGAGCGTGCGCGCACTCCGCACTCCGTTCTGTGAAGTGTCGTGATCTCCATGGGGCAGGCCGCAGAGTGTGCGCCGGCAGCGGAGACGGGATCACGAAAGATCCTGCACGATCCACCGCGTCCAGCCTCGGCTTCGCGCGCGGGGCCTGTGCGAGGCTGGCCGTCTGTGCGTTCTCATGAGAAATGAGCAGATGGAAGAGGACGGGGAGGGGAAGGGCCCCTGCGGTCGCGCGCGAGGACGCGGACGAGGAGAGGACTCCCACTGCTAAACCCGTCCTGCGGGCGTGAGTGCCGCTGGGCCGGAGCAGGCCGGATGGAGAGATCGTCCCTTCTGCACCGAACGCGCGTATGAATGAAGCTTTCAACGGCGGTTCCGAGAACTCTCCCCTGCTCCCTTCTTCTCAGAAACCCCGACCACAGCCCAAAAGCCTTCAGGATGACAAACGCCGGCGTACCTCCCGCCCTCCCCGGCCGCGCTCCCCCGTCTTGGCCGGCACCCGGCGGCGTGCTTGCGTACACTCGTTGCGCGTCCTGCGACGAGTGGGACGTAATGGCGATCATACTCCCCAGCCTGAAACCGGTGCTGCAGGTCCCTGGCCAACGTGACCCTAACCACACCCAGATTCTGCCCTGGGTACTCGGGTGGTCGCCTGGCAGATCACAGAGTTGGCGAGCTACAACATCCAAGAATCAGGCCTATCTTGTGCATCCGGGGCTTCGTGCAGCCAGGATCATTCGGCAGGGCGCAGTACGAACCAGGGTTTGCCGATCTCCAGGGGCTGAATTGGCCCCGATGGAGCAAGAGACTTCCCTCTCTCCGTCTGCATGAGAAGCGAAGACGCCGGTGAGAGTATGCGCCTAGAGTTCGTCATCATCTTGACCGTGAACGCATGAGGTTCGCCGCAGCGGGAGCCAAAAGCGAGAGTCGTGGCGGCGGAAACAAACACCAGCTCGCTGAGTTTGATTGTGACGTCACGTCACACGTAGTCCGGGCCCTCCAAGAACGACAGCGGAGTTTCGCCTCCCAGTCGAGAACCGTCCCGTCCCTGTGCGCGTGCGCATCCTCCCGGTCTTTTTCTGCCAGAGGACAGCTCACTTCCAGTCTGACCGTCCACCTTGCTTCGGGCCGCATAATCTGTCAAGACATCATCCATACCGTCATCGCCATTTTGGACTCGGTCCACATTTGAGTCCGGGGTGTGTACGTCTCCTATGCCTTTCATGACTGCATTGTCTCATAGCTCTCGCAAACGAGACATTTATGACAAGGTGAAGCTTCAGGAAAACGTGTCTGGCATACGGCGGACGGGAAGGAGGCGCTGGAGGCGCCCCCATACGGTGCCATATGGGGACCATTCCCACACCCCTTTGCGGCCTCAAGAGATACACTATGCCTTTCGCCTCGATTGCATCCCCAAGTAAAACCACGGTTGAGATCGACCAGAGATAGCGACAGAATCCGTATGTGTGGCAGCCGAGTCTCCGGATGCACACTCGGCTGCCCCTCCTGGAGGCGTCTGTCTCCGTAGGATAGATACGCGATCCTGATGAGCATCAACTGCAATCCACAATTGCGTAGCAAAGGGGGGTACATGTTGTTTTTTTTTGTTAACAGCTCCTGTATGCTTGTCATCTCTCCTTGAACGTCGGAAAACATGACAGAAGACATAACGGAATCGCGTCGCTTGTGATGCCCATGCTCGCTACCACCCTTGCGGCCTGCAGAACATATCACGGGGAATTCTCATCGGAAGCCAACGCCTGTTCGCAACGAGCCCAGACAGAGGACATGCGGCCGATTTCTCTTGGTGTACGGATCGGATTCTTGACTGATATCTGACATCCGCCTTTACCACGTCTTTGGTGAAAGCTCCCTGTGAGCGTAGAGCGCCGGAATACCACGGGTGCGAACCCGGAGCCCACAAAGGGCAGAGAAGTACGTCGACAGGCATTCCGCCAGAGTCCACGTACCGTGTTCTCAGCCGTTCACTTTCTCTCTAGCCCGTTCTCTCGATAAATGCACGGAGGCGTGCAATGACGCCGTATGCGTCCTGCACGCGAAGCCCGCCTCTTCTGCAGCTGCGACGGAGTCGGGCGCCGGGCCCGGTGCGAAGCCCCCACGCGAGCACGCCAGGTCCTCTTCGCGCCGATACCGCGATCCCTGGCTCTAAATATCCCCGCACCGAGGCTGTCGCGCTCACTCCCCCAGATCCATCTGTGCCGATGCGGATCGACGTACGAGAACGGAGGGGATGCGCACTGGCTCTGTGGCGCCCGCCGGCCACCCACCTTCGAGACCAGGATCGTCGGTCGGCATCCCTGAACTCACGCCCTGGAACTCCGCCGGACCCAACGGGAAAGATCTGCTCGGGATGCCGGAAACGCCTGCTCGGATCGCTGCGCAGGCGACGTCAGCGCGTGCGCTCAGGATAGCTCTCTCGTGTTCCCGACGGGGGCCAGGTCCGTATCATTCACGAGCATCCACCGTTCGGGCAGGAGCGATCTCGTACGTGCGCCACACGACCGCGTATTCCTTCCCCTTCCTGACCGGTTTCCGGCCCCTTCAAGAGCCTCTGTCCTCAGTGTCCGCGAAAGGGTCATCCACGACGCCCGGCGCCGCATCCCCAGCCCAGACACCCGCTCGGCCCACATGCTCGTGACGCTACGCCCGTCGGGTCTATCAGAACCCCACTTGGGGCCCCGGACACGTCCTCGTCCTGCGCGAACGGCGCGCGCGCCACTGCCCCGCGCCGCGCGCTTCGCGTTCTCGCTAATCTCACTTCAAATCGACCGCCATGACCGGTGGCCAGCCATGCGCGCACTCCTCCCCCCCCCTTCCACCTCGCCCGTTCTCTCGAACCCGTCTCTTGGCACTTCTTCATTGGATCGGGCGCGGGAGCGGATGGGGCACGCCCGGATCTTAGCGCCGGAGGCCTGGTTTGCTTTTTGGGCTAATCAGGCAGGCTTCTCAGAGGGATCCGCAGGCCCCCCCAGGTAGGCGCGCAGGTTACCCGATGAGTACTATGGTGCGGCGGTGAGCGCCGCGCGAGAGGAATGTGCGGTGGACGGTACTCATGGGACGCTCTGACAGCGCAGGCGCACATCCACGGCTCCGCCACAGTGGCAGCGGGGGCGCGGCGGCCGTGCCGCACGAACGTCAGCGCCGACGTGCGCCCGCGATGCGGGTGGGCCGCTGCCGCCGTGCGAGGTGTTGGTAGGCGCGGGTCTGGTGCCCGTGCGCAGGGCAGCCGACGATGGCGCGCGCCCCCGCCTTCGTAGGAGCGAGCCCCTCAAGCCAGGCGGACGTCCGTCGCGCGCCTCTGGCGCGGGCACGGGGCGAACCACGCCGGCACCAGAGAACGCCCGTGGAAGGAGCGCGAAGCACCAGGGCTTCCGACGCTCGACCTCGTCCGCGAGAGGAAGTGCTGTGGGCATTTATCGCCGGCCGATCTGGGCGCGCGACTTCCGTCGAAACACGATCGAGTGGCGGCGGCGGCGGCGGCGGCGGCGTAGATCCTTCCTTCGCTGGACCGCGGACGGGGCACGCCAGTTGCCGCCCCCGGACGCGGGCGTGAACGCGCACGGAGGCGTCAGCGCCCGCGAGACCGTGCCCCGCGACCGATCTCGCCCGGCGCATGCGCGTCACGTACTGCAGATGGCAGCGCACTGCCGCCGGTGCGCTTGTACACACACGTGCTGTGTATGTTCAGGCCAGGTGGGTCCGCCGCGCAGCGCGCTGGGCCTTCCGCTGAGCGAGTTCGTGTGGACCGACGCCGAGCATCGAGGCATTCTAGCTGAATGGTACGTCTCATCTATCCCCACATAGCACACAACACACTGGGTACCAATCTCCACGGCCTGTAAGAGGATGCAACTCATCCAAAGGCCGGCCGCATGTTTGGGCGCGATCTTGCAGACGGGCGGTGTTCCCATTCAGCTTGACACTGGAAGTCCTTGCCAGGCTTCCGGTGCGCTTATCTCGAGCTCGCAAGTGCTACAGCCAGATACAAAAAGTCAGACGGAGCAGCAGGCACCTCTCCGCTGAACACGACAAATGGAACATACAGTAGCTTACAAAACTGTTCCCAGAAACTAATGTCTGGCCATACATTGGCTGTAGCACTGCAAATACTACACCAGTCTATGAATTTAAATGTGACGGGTGGGTATGCTTTTTGGCTACTGAATGGTCCAAAAAGTCTATCGTATAGATTGGTATGTGCCTATTCTTGATGATTTCTTTTTCGTATTCCAACCAAGTAACAAAATATTGGTTCAGTCCGGGCTCGAACCGGAGACCTCCTGTGCACCTACATGATGTGAGACAGACGTGATAACCAACTACACCACTGAACCGCTGCGGTATTGACTTGCTCAGCAAGCATATGCTATGAGTTAATATTTTAAGCCTCGCATGGTTGGTATACAAATACAAGCTTCAGACGAGACCAGAATCATCCCGGTACCGCATGAGAGTCGCCGAGTCTGCGCGGGCTGGATCGCTCACACCGCGGGTCTGTCCCACTCGCCCGCCTCCTGCCCCTCCTTCATCCATCCCAACCGGTCCGCGGTCAGCCCCGCCGCGCGGATGAAGAGCGTGCCATCGAGAACGTCCGCGCCGTCGAGGCCGGTGTCCGCGAAGTGCCCGGGCGCGCGCGTGCCGTACACGGTCGCGCCGTGCAGGAGCGCGCGCTGCAGCTTGCAGACGTGCTCGCCCGGGTGCACGATCGTCGTCTGCACGATCGGCAGCCACGGGTTCGGCTCGGGGTCCGCAGGAACAAGCGTCCCCGCGGCCGGGTCGGGAGGGGCGGACGCGGGCCTGGGAGGGGTGGGCTTGGCGGTGGTCTGCGCGTAGAAGTCCCGGATCGGGAGCGGGTAGCGGCCTTGGGCGACGTACCACCCCAGCGAGATCGCAAAGTAGCTCTCCAGGAGGATCGCGGCTGAGCGCGGGGAGAGGTACGCGACGAAGGAAGGGAGGAAGAGCGAGGATGTTACGAGATGCATGCTGTACTATGCACATCAGCGGGGGATCACAGGCGTGGGTCGACGCAGGACTCACTTGAAGAAGTTGGCGGTGAACTTCTTGGTCGGGGAGCGGTCCCGCACGGCCCATCCGCCGACGCCGTAGATGAGCGCGTTTGTCCATGTGAGCTCTTCGATCTTCCGCTCGACCGCGGCGGAGGTCGCGCCGTCCCCAGCGAGTTCGGCCGCCCATTCAGCTGCAAGGTCCGCGAGCGCGCCGCCGACGGTCTTGTCGACGAGGTCGAACGTCGTCACCTCGGCCAGGTTCGTGAGACCGAGGGTATCTGGTGAGTACTTGTCGTCGGCCAGGACACGGCCGAGGATGCTGAGTGCGTGGACACTGGGCTTGTCAGAGGCCGCCTCGCCGTTTGCAGCAGACTTCCCGAGCGAAAGCGAAGGGAGCAAGGCGGTCAGGCGCGCGATGCCGCTCGGATCGGCGTGGGGATGTTGGAAAAGCGAGGCGCTGCGGACCAGGTTTGTACCTTGGGCAGAGTGAACGGCGGCCTGAGCGAGGCCTGTAGTAGAGAAAGAGGTTAGCACGCTTGCAGGCCAGAGCGGGATCATGCTAGAAACCTTCTGCGACAAGCCCGAGTAAACCGAACTCCAATCCGCCACCTGCGTGGATGAGGGGGTGAACGAGCACAGCGTGGAGGCGCGCGAGCATGTTGGGTTCCACCCCCGTGTCCGGGCCGCCGATGTTGGCTGTTGAGGTGAAGAAGTACTGCTCGAGGACCTCGGTGATGTCCTTCTCGAGGAGGCGGCCTCTGAAATACTTCAGATACGAGTCATAGTACCTATGGCAGTTCAGTTACAATCAGAGTGGCACCGGCATGGTAAATATTTGGAACGCACTCCCGCTTCCCGAGGTGCAGCCAGAAGGTCTTGCCGTCGATCGGCTGCGGGGACTCGAATGAAGGGAGCAGATACGAGGTGTGCGTCGCGTATGCGGCCTCGATGAGCGGACCCGGAGCGCCCAACGCGTAGATCGCGACGAGGTGGTGGGAGGCGTGGCTGTGTTCAGATTCAACATCGTCGTCAGCGGCGTGCTCTCTGAGACCAGAGACACGGGTCTTACTCACTTGTGGAAGCCGCGGTCGTTGAAGAAGGCGTGGAAGCGGATGTGGTCGTCCTTGAGGGTCTTGAGGAGCGCGACGCTGGACTCGTGCGTGACGCCCGGGAGGCGGGCGGGGCCCTTGGGGGAGGGCGCAGCGGTCGGGAACGGGAAGAACGCGTCAACGTCCTCGGGCTTGAGAGAGGCCATGCTTGCGAGTCGAGATTGTCGGGACTGATCTGTGCACTGCTGAGTGCTGCCGCGGCAGTGTACCGACAGCGCGGAGTATATATGCGTGTGTCTGGGAGGCGCGCCGAGCTCTGGCCAACCAGTATGCGTACACGCGCAGCAGCAATCGTGAGCGCATGCTCCCCCGTCCGTCACGGGTATGTACCGCGCCTGTCGCCGCCCGACCCGTGTCGTGGAGGGCAGCTGAATGGCGGGGGTGGCGAGTGAGTCAGGCGGTTGACATGAGGCTACCGCGTTTGAGTAAGCATTCTCATCAGGAAGCAGGCGGTGTGCCAGAGCGGGCGCGAACCCGTCCTGGCCGTCGAAGCCATCGTGGCGCAAGCGGCCGATGTGGGTGTCCGAGCTGTACGTGGCCCGGCGGCAAGTGCTTGCTCAAGGAAGGGCCATCTTTGTATTCACTCGACTCGTCGTAAGCTGCGTGATCGTATTCGTCAGTCCGCTGCGGGGAATCGCGCCAAGAAATCCCGTGATGTGGTTCCCAACAGCGTCAGACGCAGAAACAGCGTCTGAGCGTCCCGAAAGGGACGGGCTATTGTCTGTTACCGCTTATGTCGCGCAAGTATATATATAGCTCATAAACCCCATACATAGCCCTCCATGGTCGTCACGGGCCTTGCGGTATAGTACAGTGAAGCTGGCACGCCAAAACACGTCAGTCCCCTCTAAACGATACAAAAGGTAACAGTGGATGATCGCGACACACAAAAAATAATATCAAATCCTTTGCGACCCATAAACTATCACAGAGGCAACTCGTGCACGCTCGCACGTTTGACAATATCCGTGTCGCTGTCGCTCTTTGAGAATGTGGTCTCAGCAAGCTCCGCCTTCTCGGCGAAAGTGCCGAACACGTCGTCGTCGTCGACCTCGCCCAAGCCGACGGGTGGGAAGACCGTGTTGAGGATGATGTGAACCGTCGCACTTAGCACGAAGCCGAGCGGCCAAGCGAGGTCGTACACGTATGTCCAGCCGTCCGCGAGACCCATGGGGTTGGGAGAGACGGAGGCGATGAAGCCAGCTGCCGAACGAAGTCTCAGTCAGCCCTTGCATACGTGCAGCAAAAACGGACTCACGCATGAGGGGCCAGACGCCAGACACCCACGAGACGAGCGCGCGGAAGTTGACGCCGTACGTGTAATAGTAGATCGACTGGGAAGAGGGCATGTACAGATGCGACAGCCGCAGCTTGCTCTTCCGCACCCACAGGTAGTCGGAGATCATGACACCCTGCGCCTCAAGCTGTGAGACGAGCCATACAGCACATTGCCCCGCAAAACCTACCGTCAGCGGGCCCAGGAACACAGAGAACGAGCTGAGCACGGTGAGGAAGACACTCGAGCCCGTGAGCAGCTTCCAAGGGCAGATGGCGATGCCGATCGCAGCGGTAAAGTATGCTCCCCTGCATGCAGACATCAGTACACCAGCGACTCGGGCGACAACCCAATCAAAGCGCACCTGCGGATATTGAGGTATTTCGGGAGTAGCCCTGACAGGTCGATGCCGCCAGAGACGGCGTTCCCTGGGATGTTGATACCGATCTGCGAGACCACGAACGCGCAGCCCGCGAAGAAGCATGCCGCACGAGCGCCAGGGCCCCCGTTGAGTTGGATCGCCTGCAGCAGGTCGTATGGTGCCCATAGGAGTCCCTCTTCTGGGTAGAATCCCGCCGCACAGCTGGTCACGACCACGCCGAACAGCGCGACCACGATTGAGCTTACGGGGACGATGACGAGCTGGCTGACGATCTGCGCGCCCGGGTGGGTGGCGAACCGGGTGTAGTCGCTCTGGTTCAGGATGCCTGAGCAGATGCCGCCGATTGTCGAGCTGATGCCGTAGGCCATCGCCCATCCAAGCTTGGAACCGCCCGAGATGGGCTCGACGCCGCTCAGCTCGCTAGGGTTGCTGAGGAGAGGGCCTCCGCCACCTTCCTTGGCCAGTGCCCAGACGAACATGCTGAACGTCGTGATCAAGATGATAACGCTCCCGACAACGAAGGGGACGCGGAACTTCTCGGGTGGAACAAGCATGAGCGGTAGGCAGATGGCAGCGAAGACGAGGACGCCAATGAGGTCGTTCAGCCTGTAAAATACGTGAGCATCCCTTGTTAAGGTGGAAGGCAGCCACCGCTTACTCAATTCCAGCACTCTCCGGTAACGTGTTGTGGAGAGTGTAAAAGCTCGGCCAGATAGCACCGATGACAATCTTAACCTGAGGGGACTTCAGAAACAATTCTGACATATGGTACAGGCTACTGTACTCACACTCTTGCCTCCACTACAAGAGACGTTGGTATCAACATGACGCGCCGCACACAAGGGAACAAGACTCACAATACCAGCTGTACGCCGTACCACACGATAGAAAGCAGGATACGCATCAGCAGCGGGAAGAAGCTGCCGAATACGCCCCAGACGAAGCGGTTGTAGACCGGGAAGCCGACGTGCCATTCTGCGCCTACGAAACCGTTGCCCACGACGGCGACGGCGACGATGAGCTGACCGATGATCACCGAGACCATGGCCTGCCAGACGTTAAGCCCGATTCCGAGAAGACTCGAGGCAGTCGTCCACCCGCTGATGTTAAAGCCGGTGAGCATCCAGTAGCCGACAAACGACCAGGCCCCCCATGTCCGGCGAGACGGCGGCAAGGGGACGATGTCACGGTTGATCCATGGCGTTGCTTCTGCCTCTGACTCGTCCTCGCGCTTGACCTCGAGACGCTTGAGCAGGGTCGACATCGCGTACCAGCAATGGGAAGAAGGGGGCTAGAGGAACGCGAAAGCCGGTCGGCGTTTGCGGGGGTACAGTACTTCATATATATCCTCTAGAGTCAGAACGATAAGCATAAGCCACACGGAGCACCACAGGGGCGACCAGATAGCGTCTTCCGGAGGACTTCACCCCGCCCCCGCTTGTCCTTGAGATAAGTGTCATGGGTCGTCAGGAACTCGATCGTCGTCTGCCTCGAGTCAAATCGTATACCGCTGCTCACGGGCGGCAAACACACCCCTTCACTTGGGCTGTCGGTAAGCACT